GACATGTTAACTCACGGGCAGCTGGCTCATCAAGAACCACAGCAGCTTTCCATGTACAGGTAAGACACGTGCAGCCGGTAAGGGTTCAGGCTCTTCTTCCTGGAGGATACGCTGCAAGCCTGTTGAACGAGGTGACCTTGCTCGGGTCCCAGGTGTACGGTTCCTAAAATGGCTGCCATATACACGTCCACTGATAGGAGACGCTGAAGGTATTAAACTGATCAGAACAATACTAAACACACCACAAATAAGGTTTCTCTCCTGTATGGCTCCTCAAATGATGCTTAAGATTAGAAGCGGCTGAAAAGCATTTCTCACACTCCGAACAAAAATATATATTTTTAACATTCTCTCCACTTTGAACGAAATGACGTTTGGGAAGAGATTAACATAATTAAACACAGGCAGCAAAAATACAGTTTTTAGCCATACCCTGTAACTTTAAAACTACACATCCCATCTTCATAATTAGATATTTGGAATCAGCACACTTAAAACATAAACATAACCAAAAATCAGCCAAATCCATCCAGGGGTTAAAAAGTTAGCTGGAGGTCCCTTTATGACCGACCGCAAGCACATTTTCCTGCCCAAAACAGTTCCATAGATTTGGGCTGTGAGGTCGGTCTATTTCAGGCTGAAAAAACGACTAAGTCCCATCGCCGAATGGGACTTAGTCTCTGCAGCTGAAATAAGGCTGAAAAAAACGGCTGAAAAAAAGACTAAGTCCCATCGCCGAATGGGACTTAGTCTCTGCAGCTGAAATAATTTCCCATTTACTGAACCAAGTGGGAAATAGCAAGGCAGGCACAAAGGGTTTGCACCAGGTCTGGGGACACAGGGGACACCGTCTTAAAGGGGCCGTGTCCCCAACAAGTCTGGGGACACGGCCTTAAAGGGGCAGTGTCCCAATCTTCCTGATGTCCCAAAAAAGGTGTTTAAAGGGCCAGCACCAGTCACATAAAGAGTCCATAAGCCCCAATATGCCCACCGACAGTCTTAAAGGGCCATACACACCAAATAAAAGTGCATACATTTTCACAATCTCCCAGGGGCCATAGTCATGCGGGAGGAGGCTGGCAAGTAGGCTTCTCCACAACCCAGGGAAGCAGGGCAATTTGCCATTTAAAGGGCCCGTTACAAATAGCAGTTTGTAACAAGGTGTCAATCCATATCTGCCAAGTGACCCATGTTAACATTCCCTATTCTGCTCTGGTCCGTGTGCATCAGGGGCTCTGAGGACAGGTGTCAATCCATATGTCAAGGTGTCAATATGTCATATGTCAGGTGTCAATCCATATTCATTGTGATTTAGGAATGTTAGGTGATTTCTGCCCTTTATGGATTAAAACCAGACTCTGTATCAACTGTGTAATTTTCCATGGGAGTTTTGCCATGGATCCCCCTCCGGCATGCCACAGTCCAGGTGTTAGTCCCCTTGAAACAACTTTTCCATCCCTATTGTGGCCAGAAAGAGTCCCTGTGTGTTTTAAAATTCGCCTCCCCATTGAAGTCAATGGAGTTTCGGGCGGTTCGCCGGTTCGCGAACATTTGCGGAAGTTTGCGTTCGCCGTTCGCGAACCGAAAATTTCAGGTTCGCGACATCACTAATCTCAGAGATTAGTCCCTTCTGCCCTCTCCTTTCTTCTCAAAAAAGGTAGAGCTCTGCTTGGCCGCTTGGTGGATCTTAATTCTTAAGGCATTATCCCTTAATTGCATTGTTATGTGCATTTGGGTATAACATTGTTAGTTTGTGTATAAATAGTTCATTTGAGCTAGCATCATATGTAATTTTCCTTTCTATGTAAGCTGAACACTTTAACATACTTCTTATGATGTACGTATATTCAGTCATAGGAAAAATAAAGTACACCCTCTTTGATTTTTATGATTTTATATATCAGAACACAATAATAATCATCCTTTCCTTAGAAGGTCTTACAATTAGGTGTTGCATTGTCCCAATCCAGACCTCAACCTGAATGAAATGCAAACTAACCCAAATGCTCTGACAGGAAAGTCTCACTTATGATGAGACTTGCACGTGAAATTTAGACTTATTGGACCCCTGTCACTATTATTAAGATGAGGGGCTAGGTGTAGTGTTGCAATCAGTGGGATACTTTTAGTGTCCAGATTAAAATCAGTGCTTTTGCATCCAGACCTTTTGCAAAGTGTAGGATTTGGATTTATAAACACAAACTTGGAAACCACAACATCTAGCAGGATGCATGTTTGCAAATTATTAATGAGTAGGTGGCTAAGGGGATGGAGAACCGTATTCGATTGGATGGTGGAAAATAATACAACCGTATGGGGGAGGGCTATGGCATTATTATAATAGCCTCCAAATAATGCCAGTGTGTTAGCCACCACCCTATCTCAATGGGTAGGGACTACATGGTATCCTAGGTTCCCCTAGTTAATAAGTAGCCCCAACATGAACTGAGTGTTCCCCACAGAGATGCATTGATTCAAAGCATCTTTATGGGGAGTGTAATGCAGCTCCCTGTAACCCAGCTGGGTACCTCCGCCAAGGACTGCTTCCTAGCTGGCACTGAGAACCATAACTACCGCACCGGACACCATATTCACCATAGACCCCACGTAGTGACAGCTTTACAGCAGTTTACCCCAATAAGAGACAAGACTCTAGATTGAGGGTGAAGTAAGTCTGGTTTAATGGTAGCCACACTGGACTTTTATGCAAGTCCCCAAGCAAGGGTTACATCCACATGGGACTTGTTGGGGACAGGGACACAAAGATTACAAACCAATCAGAACAGTAATTAAATGTATGACACTCCCATAACAAACATGCAATCCCTCCCCTCTGCCTGTGAGATTAAAGTACAATATGTAACTCAATTATCTCCAGGCAGAAAAAACACATATTTTATAAAGTCCCATAAATACCCCAAAACACAACATATCCCCATGTTACATCCCATGATAGCCCTGATTTGGATGAACAACATATCACAAAATCACCCAGATCAGAGCCGGGGTTCAGGAAATGCGTGGAAGTCTCTTTTTGAACGACCACACGCATGGTTTCATGCCCAAAACAGTTCCAGAGAATCAGGGCTTGCGGCCGGTCTAGTTCGGTAGTTTGCAAACTAACAAACTACCGAACGGAGTCAATAGTCTTACCCTGGAGCTTGTTCCCTTCATCTAGATGAATGATCTCACCAAACAGTGCCCTGCTAAGCTGAATAGAAAGGAACGCAGGCGACGATGGAAGTTCAGTGGTGTTTGGGAGTTTCTGAATCCGATTTTAGTTCCATGACATTCATCCCCAAACACTGCTGCCTGTGTTCATATGAAAAAGATGGCCGCCACCTTGTGGTTGTTCATAGGAATTGCGGCTACCCAGACAAACAATTAGAACATTGCGGTGAGAAACGTTCCAAGTTGTTAATAGGTGTTAGGTGGTCTCTGTTCAGAAAACTAACCATATAGTCCCAATTTCACGAACAGAGCCTGTTTGAAGTATATTAGCCAGTTCTATTGCAGGGGCCATAGTCAAAGAGTAAAAGGCTGACAAGTAGTCCCCTCCAAAAACAAGTGGCGAGGTCACTTTTGCCACAGGGAGATTCTTATTGATGCAGTGCTGCAGTTTGTCCCGCATGTGCAATAGTTTTCCTCTGCTTTTCAATGGGAAAGCATTAGATTAGCTGAACTCAGCAAGGCACCTCTTCAGAGGGATCTAACGGGAGCTGGAACCTAAACACCCCCACAGGCACTTTAGTGTCAGGAATACATGTTTACATTCCTGACACTATAGTGTTCCTATAAGGTAATAATGAATTTCATTATTTATTGTTTTAAATGTTTGTTTCTAATTTAGACTGTTTATAATAAAGGTCAAAATTTTAATGATGCATTATAAACACAAGAAGTATTAATGGATTTCATATTATTTCACTTGGATGTATGGACTATATTTTGTTTGTAAAAACTATGCAGGTCCATCCATTTGTGATGCATTGAATGGCAATTTGTCCTACTTGCGCTCAACAGGAAATTATATTAACAGGTTTCACAAATAAGAAATCCTTAATTGTATAAAAATTCAGGTTTAATGACTATAGGAAGAATTATTGTGTTAATAAAGTATTATGCAAGCTGAAATTACTTTTCTATGTTGCCTTATTATGTGAAAATTATTTTGTATAATGTCACTTTCTGTGGTTCCATTAACATTCTCAGTTCATGGCATAATAATTTAAAAGCTTCATTTATAAACATTCATGGTGGTAATGTTAATTGCTCTTATTGCTTTTAGAACTGTTACAGTGACAAAGAATGGCAACGAGCATTATGAAACATGCATGGTACAATGTGTCTCTAATTACATTTGCAAATATAGTTGATGTCAGCAACAACATCCCTAAGTATAACAAGTTCCCATATTTTTAATTTGGTATAAAGGTCTTATTTAAAGTGTTGCCAAAAATACTACAAATACAGGGCCGTCTTTAAGGAGGGGCAAAAGGGGCAGCTGCCCCAGGCCCAGTTAGGCCCCCTGCGGCACCTAAGGTAATCAGGGGCCACAGCCTTTTAATACTGCTCTGGACCGGCCCAGGCCCCTGTTATATGGGGGGTGGCTGACTACATACTCACAGCTAGCCCCCTCACATACTGCCCTGTGAGTCTCTTTGTTTCCTGGGCATGCTGGGAGGCAGTGAGGTCAGATTGCTTCCTCCCAGTAAGAACTGATCACTTCCTCCTCAGTGCCGCTGGGGAGGAGGCACACACCACATGGAGGAGGATGCAAGCATTGTGGGGGAGAGGGACTGAGAAAGCTGATGGCAGACTCCCATCAGCCTGGGCCAACAAGCTCTCACTGGACCCCAGGGAAGCCACCTTTCTGTACCCAAAATGTAAGGAGACAGGAGGGTGGCTAAATATGTTTTGTTTTTTGTTTTGCTAATTTCTGATATCACTTTTATTCAAGTGTTGGTGTTTGTAATGTAACACACAGGGAATAAGTACATGTTAAAAATCCTAGAAGAACCTGACAGTTCCCTATTAAATATAAATTTAAAAAGTATTTATTTTAACATATTGCATCAAGTGTTATCAAAGGCTGTACACCATTTTCAGATGTCACTTTTGCCAAATTCTGGACCAGGGTATGTAAGAACAGAGTTGAGACATTATATTGGCCAAGGTTGCTGGGAGTTGCTGTCCAAGAGCTGCTAGAAGGCAGATATTAAAATATGTAAATGTACACATATATATGTGTGGATCTGGCTGTGTTTATGTCCTTTTGTGTATCTGGCTGTGTTTGTCTGTGTATCAGTGTTTCTGTGTGTATGTATACCTCATACACCTGTATGTGCACCTGTGTGTGTGTTTCGGTGTGTGTGTAAGTGTGCATCTGAGTGTGTGGTAATGCATACATCCCAGCATTTTAATGCCAACACAAATACACTCATACATTCCATCTCTAGCACTGTACACATATACACCCCTGCATTTATACCTTATGTATGTGTGTATCTGAGTGTGTGTGTATATACCTGTGTCAGTGTGTGTGTGTATGTGCCAGTGTGTGTATATCAAAGTGCTTGTATCTGTGTGTCAAAGGGTGTGTATCTGAGTGTATGTGTATGTGCCAGTATGTGTCAAGGTGTGAGCATGTGTCAGTGTGAGCATGTGTGTATCTGCGTGTTAATGTGTATGTGTATATGTGTTATAGAAATCACACAACATGCAAACAGACCCCTGCAAACACAAACATTACAAACACACCAGTTTGCTGAAACACTAATACTACACACAAATGTACACATGTATTTAAAAGACAACACTACATCCAAACACCCCCCTGCATGCAAATACAAACATTACATGCAAACACATTCCTGTATTAAAACGCTAAAATTATATACAAACACCAACTCTACACACAAAAGTACAACTGCATTTAAAAGCCAACACTACAAACAATCACACATCCCTGCATTAAAATGCAAACACTACACACAAGTACACCACTGCATTCCAATGGTAACAGTACATACAAATACACCCCTACATGCACACATACACTCTATACAATAACATGCTGACATTCAATTGCACAAACACTGCTCAAAAATACAACCCTGCAAGGATGGTAGCAGGGGAGGGCTGGCAGCCTTAGGCCTGGGGGGCAAAACCAGTCAAGTGGCCCATTGCACCACCAAATCAGTTCACCATCCATGCCCACCTTTTCCTGGTTTTATAACGGATATTGATGTTATGCTAATCAGTAGCTCTTTGCCATACCCGCTCCTTCACGGCTCCAGGCACTGCTTGTTGTGAGTGTGAGCCACTGTAAATTAGGGCAGAGGGCACTTGCACTGCGGTAAAGACGGGGCTGGGCAGGAGGAGAGTGCAGTGCAATCAGTGCACTCCCCTCCTGTGGGTCACCAGTAGACTGGTGCACCTGCCCAGGATCAGAGCCGGTGCAAGGATTTTTGCCGCCCTAGACAAAATAAAAATTTGCTGCCCCCACATGTCACATCACAATGCCCCACCCATATGATCTGCCATATGAACTAACGCCAGTGCTGCACACAGTGTGTGTTTACATTAAAAAGCCTGCAGGGACCAGCTATAGACACCAGAACCACTTCATTAAGCTATAGTGTCCCTTTAATGTGAGGTAAATTATAGATTAGTGTCACTAATAATATACTAGATTGCCTACTTACAAGCAGATGAGGATGATGATGGGCTGCAGTTTGGCTCCACTGGTCTGGTGTAGAACAGGATCTCTGGAGGCTGTTTGCAACTGTGTCACAAAATTCAATGTTCTGGGAGAATTGGAAGCAGCTCCATTTTTTGGGGCCCCTTACACAGCTCAAGGTCTGGGCCCCAGGGCCTGACGGTGAGTATGCCCATAAGGCCCACTCATAAGTTCCACCCACCCATGAGTTCGCTCACAGGGAGTGGAGTGTGTAGGGGATGTGTTATGTGTTATTGTAGAGGATCTAATATGTGTGCTTATGGTATGTAGTGTATAGGGTTACCAGTTTGTGCAGGTGATGCAGTGTGTTTGTGTGTAGTGGAAGCAGTGTGTATTTGTGTATATGGGATGTATTATGTGTTTCTGGTTGTGTGTAAGGGATGCATTGTGTGAATCTGTGTTTGTATGCATAAGGGATGCAAGGTGTGTGTCTGTATGTGTGTGTATTGAGTGTAAGAGATGCATTGTGTTTCTGTGTGTATGTAAGAAAAGAAGTGTGTGTGTGTTTGCATGTGTGTGTACGGGTTTGCATTGTCTGTTTCTGTGTATGTGTGCAAAGGATGCATTGTCTTTGTGTGTAAGGGTTGCATGTGTGTGTGTGTGTGTAATGGATGCATTGTGTGTTTCTCTGTGTGTAAGGGAAGCATGTTGTGTTTCTGTGTGTGTAGGGATGCATTGTGTGTGTCTATGTATAGGGATGCATTGTGTGTGTGTGTGTGTGTGCGCGCGTAGTGTGAAAGAGCTCCCTGTCTTGGCCCCTGTCCTATAGAGCTGTCCCTTCTGTCCCTTAGAGCTCTCCCCTGCACCTTAGTGGTCTCTCCCCACCTCCCCTAGCGTCTCTTCTCACACTCACCCACCCTCCTGTGCTCTTCTCTATCCTCCAGCCTCCCTATTCTTTTTCACTCTCCTATGTGTTCTCCCACCGTTCGCTCTACCCCTCCTCCCTGTGTTCTTCATTTCCCTTGGTCGCCTTACCCCCACCTGTTCTTTCTTACTCCCCACCTGTTCTCTTACCTTCTTCTTATTGCTCTTCTTCTTCTTACTTCCCTTCTTTTTCTTAACCCTCTTCTTACTCCCTTCTTTTCTTACTCCCTTCTTCTTACTCCCCTTCTTCTTCTTACTCCTCCTTTTTCTTCTTACTCCCCACTCTTCTTCTTCTTACTTCCCACTCTTTTTCTTACTCACCCCTTCTTCTTCTTACCCCCCTCTTTTTCTTATCTCCCCTCCTTCTTACTCCCCCCTCCCCCTTTTCTTATTCCCCCTCTTTTTCTTACTCCCTCCTCTTCTTATTCTCTCCCCTTTATTCCCCTCTCCCTCTTCTTATTCATCTCCTCCCTCTTCTTATTCCCCTCTTTTTATTCCTCCTCTTCTTTCCTCCCCTTCTTATCCCTCCCTCTTCTTATTCTCCCTCCCTCTTCTTCTTATTCTCCTCTTCCGCCCCTTCTTATTCCCTCCTTCTTATTCCCGTCTCTCTACTTCTCCTCTTTTACCTCTCAGAAATGTTGCATCAGTTCAGGAAGTCGTCGAGGATAGAGACACTGAGTGTGCATTTCCTGTCAGTCCGGCCGGTTACAGGAAACAGAAACTCCGCGCGGAACAGGAGTTTCTGTTT